TGTCATTGTTTTCTCTGTTGGTTATTTTATGTGTTATCAAATGAGGAGATGCTACTTTGCCAACTTTTCACCATGACCTCACTTCTTAAAAATGAAGATAATGTATGCATGCTGCTGGAAAGGTTGAAAAAGATGAATAGGATACAAAAAGTAACCAAATGAAAAGTCATCGCATTTTCATTTTCATTCAATGCACATCTTCTGCCATTCTTTCTTTGCTCTTATTACCCAGAAATGTTTCCTTTGTATTGCTTCCCAGAGATTCTATCCATCATGCTGTCTTAAGTAAGTAGATTTTGTTCTTTAACTAGCTCATGCCAAAACCCTTGAAGTTAAGGAAAAAGAGTTTTCTAAAGAGCTTGAAAAGGAAACATTAATTAGAAAGTCATATATTTTGACTTTTCAACGTTAAAACTTCACTTTTCTTCTATCTAGAGAAGTCTTGCCTCTCTGATTACATGTTAATATAACTGTAGACTATACCCATTGTACTGGGGATTGAGTTATTACTCTGTTTCTTTTGAGAGTTGAGTCTAAGCTAAGTGTCAGCACATTGGCACCATTTGTGAAGCGATTCTTTAAAACAGCTTGGACCAGGAGTCCCTCAGTAACATGCTGTAACATCTGGTGTCACAACCCGTTCTGAGGTGGTCTGAGGGTTCTTTTGTTTACTAATAACAAATATTGAAGTTGGGGAATTGATTTACATTTAAAAAGTAACCTATATTCGGTGGTATCTCTCTTAAAACAGCAAAAATACCAAGAATTACACAAATGCTTATCTGTCCAAAAATATTCATGCCACAGGCCTGGAAACAACCATTTAATCCTATCTTTCCACATATGATGAGGCTGTGAAAGGGTTGAGAAAAAAATTTTTAAGAGGTAGAATGATCCTTTTAAGCAGGAAGGCCCTATATTGCTTGGGGAAAGCTCACTTTATCTGTGAGCTGGACAGATAGGGCTGCACACAGATTTGGCTTGACCTGCACAATTTTGCTTTTTTAACTTGCACCAGTGCTTGATGACTCCATAAATTCCACATAAAAAAATCAGTCTTTCTACCTTCTCTTAAAATGGTTTGAAAAGGGTAAGATGAGGTCCTCTTCTGTGTTCCCTCTAGACGGTCGTTTCCTCCACTGCTTGCTGTATTGCCCTTCTTGATTGCAGTGCACGCATACACCTTCCCTCCGTTAGATCTGACAACTTCATGGTAGAGCGAAAATGCCATATTACTTTATAAAACATTCCTCATATAATTCCATGTAAGTGTTTAACACTGGCCTTCTGGAAAAAAAAAGTTTTTGAATGACTTGATATTACAAATTACCTGGATTATTTAGTCATCCTTCCCTAAAATGCTGGTTTTCACATACGAAAATCACGTGCTCAAAAGTCCATATCCTAATCCTCCACATAGTACATTTTGAAATTTCAGAACATGTTGTTCACATAATCTCATAATTTTGTATTATGTAGCATATTTTTTTAAATTCCTTTCTTAATATTAAATAGCACAATTGTTCCACTTTTTTGTTAAATTCGATCTCAAGAAAAGATTAGGTCTTATTCTGAAATAACAGGGTTTTATATTAACAATGTAACAAATATGCTAATTAATTTTTTAGAAATAATAGAAAATATACCTGGTAATGTACAATATACAAGTTTGGCCGCTAGAGGGCTTTGATTTTTTTTTTACCAGGGAGAGTATAATTGTGAAGATAATAAAAATGAAGTTTATTCTCCCCGGGCAAGGGAAACAAAAGCAAAAATTAACAAGTGGGACTATATCAAACTAAAAAGCTTCTGTACAGCAAAGGATACCATCAGTAGAACTAAAAGACATCCTACAGTATGGGAGGATATATTCATAAATGACATATCTGATAAGGGGTTGACATCCAAATTATGTAAAGAGCTCAGGCACTTCAACAAACAAAAAGCAAATAAGCCAATTAAAAAGTGGGCAGAATTTCTGAACAGACACTTCTCCAAAGAAGGAATTCACATGACCAACAGGGACATGAAAAGATACTCCACATTGCTAATCATCAGAGAAATGCAAATTAAAACCACAATGAGATATTACCTCACACCAGTTAGGATGGCCAACCAAAAGACAAACAACAACAAATGTTGGTGAGGATGTGTAGAAAGGGGAACCCTCCTACACTGCTGGTGGGAATGTAAACTGGTTCAACCATTGTGGAAAGCAGTATGGAGGTTCCTCAAAAAGCTCAAAATAAAAATACCATTTGACTCAGGAATTCCACTCCTAGGAATTTACCCTAAGAATGCAGCAGTCCAGTTCGAAAAAGACAGATGCACCCCTATGTTTATTGCAGCGCTATTTACAATAGCCAAGAAATGGAAGCGACCTAAGTGTCCATCAGTAGATCAATGGATAAAGAAGATTTGGTACATATACACAATGGAGTATTATTCAGACATAAGAAGAAAACAAATTCTACCATTTACAACAACATGGATGGAGCTAGAAAGTATTATGCTCAGTGAAATAAGCCAGGTGGAGAAAGACAAGTACCAAATGATTTCACTCATCTGTGGAGTGTAAGAACAAAGCAAAAACTGAAAGAACAAAACAGCAGCAGACTCACAGAGCCCAAGAATGGACTAACAGTTACCAAAGGGAAAGGGACTGGGGAGGGTGAGTGGGAAGGGAGGGATAAGGGGGGAAATGGGGCATTAAAATTAGCACACATAATGTAGGGAGGCGACACGGGAAAGGCAGTATATACAGAGAAGACAAGTAATGATTCTATAGCATCTTACTCTGCTGATGGACAGTGACTGTAATGGGGTGTGTGGGGGGGACTTGATATTGGGGGGAGTCTAGTAACCATAATGTTGTTCAAGTAATTGTACATTAATGATATCAAAAAATAAGCAAAAAAAAAGAAGTTTATATGGTTACCAAAGTTTAATTGTATAATTACAAAATTTTAAATGTGGTTACATAAAGTATATAAGAATCTTATCCTGACTATAAGCAAAATATTTAATATTTAATATTATATCTGGGGAAGGCAATGTTTATATTTTAATAAACAAAAAGTAGTTAATAATGTAAATTCACAGGTTGGATGATTTTTACTGTTCATATGTTCATCACCTTAACATTTTAAAAGGGTCAGAAAAATACAGTTTGCTTATCCTAATACCACATATAAAACATGTATATTTATGGCATCTTCACCAAAAATTTTTCTAGAACTGAACAACAGGAATAACTTGCTGTGAATGCTCTGAATACTCTGTTGTCATAAAGAAAAAATTTATGTTGAAGTCTTTTGGGGATTTTTCAACAGAATGAGAGCTAAAGATCAGCTTTCAAAGTCTTACAGGATTTAAATGGCTGTTGGCTCACTGTGGTGAAAATTTTCATTGTTTTTCAAATTGCATGTAATTTATTTTTACACAGTATCTCTGGAGTCTTTTAACAATAAAGACAAATGCTCAGGAAGCCAATTTTAAAAGAATTGCAAATTTTAAATTCCCTCCTTTTCTTTCATTTCAAATATTTTGGTTCATTTAAATCAGACATGAAGGTGTTATATTTTACAATGCAAGTTCCCCTACTCCATTAAGAATGCTAGAACTCAGGCACAGAGAACCTATATCGTAATGCTTGCAAACCTTTGTTAAGCCAAGGATAATGTCCCCTCGTGTGTGCATGCCTAGCACGCTCCCATCATAATTGAGTTAGAGCAGGTATTTTCAATTGGGGAAGACAGTCTACAGGGGGGCTTTAGAGGTTTTCAAATATTTTCACTAATGCAAAAGTAATGTAATGCAACCTTCCATTTGCATCATCTTTCGTAATTATCCTTAGGTTTCCTTATGACAAGAAGAATCTTTTTTAATGACTTGTTTTATGGCTATGTTTTCCCACCTCCTCAGGCTCTATAGAATCATAGGTGCTCACATCATTTTTCTGTTCAAACCCTGACTATACTTTCAGACAAAGGTCAAACTCATGGTATTTAGCATGGTTTTGAAATACCCTTAGGCATTCCCGCACTTCTTCACCTGCATGTCTTACCCTTTCCGTCTTTACATACTTTGTCCTTTTCCTAGCGTGTCCTTTCATTTTTTAAATACATCTCCCCAAATGTGCACGTGTGCGTACACACAGACACACACACGCACACACTCACCCCACACCCCTCACAGTCCGCTACACTGGTCGCTTTCTACTCCTGGAAATCTCAATTTATTCTTCAAACCTCTCCTCCTTTCTTCGCATTTTATTGTGCTTGGAAGGCCCTTCCAGTCCTTTCTGCCTGATCCTCCAAAGCCCATCTTAAATATATCCTATATCCAAGATTTTTCCCTTACATTATTTCTCCCTCCCTGGTTGAATTATTTGTTTTTCCTCTCTCTTGTCGAGACATTTTATACATACTCCTACTCTAGGACTTACCACAGATACCAGAGCCATTTCCCTCACCTTCTTTCTTCTTCTTCTTTTTTTAATTAACAAAGTAGGGAACTAATGTCAGAAAGGAAAGACCCAGTTACCATCCCATAGCCAGTGAGAGTCCAAATGATAATTACATACAAACATCCTACCTTCGAATCCAGTAGTATTACCAACATCAGTATTTTTAGTGATATTATTTTGAATGTTTGATAAATGCTGTTACTTCTACAGTATAGTTCTGTGCTTGCATAGTAGAGTAAGGAATAGAGTTAGAAATAGTAATAGGGGAGGAGTAAGAGTTTTTCTGGTGTTTTTGACAAGGAATTTAATATCCTACATAGATTCTAATATAATTTAAACACATAATAGTCTAATTTACTGAATTCTTCTTCCTTTCAAATACTAAACATTTAGCTCAATATCTGAAATGTACAAAGTAAAAACATACGTCAAAATGTCATTTTAATGTATAGGTAAATATTTCTTTGGAGATGTAGATAAATACAATGCTTTCATAATTTATAAGTTTGTTTTAATATACCATTTCAGTGTCTTCTCTCCAGCACAGCCATTTCTGAAAGTATCTTATATTTTGAAGATGCCCCAGAAGTTTATAAACACACACCAAATTGTAAGCAACAGGTACCTACTCTAAGATATATTTTTTCTTTTATTTATTAATGTTTATCATTTATCCATTCAATAGATATTTCTGTTCCAGATAAAAGGCACAGAATGACCTGTCCTCTGGGAGTTTATATTCTTGCCAAGGGGACATTAAAGAGCTAAGTACACAGTTACTCCCTGTATTAGTGTGGGACCTGCTGGGGAGACCGGATGTAGGGCTGTTATGGGAAATGAGGGCAATCTGGAAGCTTTCCTTGAAGAGGAGACAGGTGGGCTGATTTTTGCAGGATAGGCAAAGTATGTGTATGTGCATGTGTGTGTGCATGCATGCACATGTGTGTGTGTGTGTGTGTGTGTGTTGTGGGAGGAAACAGTAAGGGGTGAGTAGGTCTAGGTAGAGAGTGACTTATGCAAACACCCAGACATAGGAGCTTAGTATCATCTAAGCAATGGAAGAAACGAGCAGAGCACAGAATGGCATAGAGGACAAGTGGCAGAGGAGCTAGTGGTATGCAGCACAGGGCCCCACACTCGGGGTATTGTGACCTTATTAGGGATTTGGTCCTTATCTTAAGAGCAACAGAAAACCTCTTGAGAAATAGACATATTTAAATAACATTGTCTGACTGCAATGCAGCAGATGGATTAGGTTGGCTAGAGAAGAGTTTTGGTCTTACAATCTTATTCATGATGCTTACTTTTTTAATTGAGCTAGTTTAACATCAACAGGGAATATAATACACAACCTGAGGTTTATTTTATTCACACTTTTTTAAATGCAAAAAGATAAAGAGATTGAGAGCTCCTCCTGAACATTATTAACGTAATGGAATCGTTTTGAAGTATACACTCACAAGTAGATGAGGCTTTTACATCTATTAAGCTGTTCAGGCAATTATGATGAGGGATGTTTTCTTTTCTACACTTTACAGACCATCTCAGTAGAGCATGTGGCCTGTTAAAATAACAAGACAGTTTATGAAAACAGAAATTAAAGTCAGCAGTGGAATTTTGGCCATTATAATCTGTGAGTAATGTTTGTTATAGGGGAAAGTAAAGTCGTGACTACCTCACTTAGTAAAATTGATGGACACGGAAGTGTGGGAAGTACATGAAGTGGACAGCATATGTAGTGCATTTCAACTATATGGAGCTAAACCTACTACTTGTTTCATGTGTCTTTATTCTTGATGGCAAGTATTTGGGCATGTGACAATTAGAAATTCTGTATAATAATTAGGGGGATTTCTGACCATTAGTGCTTCAAGTAACACAAACTGCTGAAACTGGTAGTTTTCCAAGGCTGCTGGGGCTCATTTACATATTTGGACAAATCATATCTGGCATTGATTTTATGGTTAGACCAGGGCCATCTATAAACTATTGATGCTATGGTTATCAAATAATTAGACTTACAAGGAAATGAACCTACTGAAACCTGTGTGTCCATCTGCATTCTCTGCCAAAGCACTAACTTTGTGCATTCTTTTGATGGTGCCATAAACCCAAACCTTTTGGACCTGGTCTTTAAAATTGAAAGTTGAGGTGTCTGAACTCCTTAATGTGGCCTACAGGGCCTCCCAGAACCTGGCCCTTACCATTTTCATCCGTGTCTCTTATTCACTTGCTATCTCCTATTTTAACCCTTACTAACTCACAAAAAGTGATACTTTATACATTCATGCCACTGCATATGCTATCACCTCTGCCAGCAAATGCCTTTTCCTCCAAATTTCACTTTATGCCACTCAAGATTCCCAAGTATCACCTGACTTGAAACTATTTCTGACCAATGCTACCACCTGACCTGCTTGGAAAGAGTAAATCACCTCTTTCCTGTATTTGCAAATCCTTTTTCACCATTGCACACATCCCGCTGTACGGTAATTACTCTGTTCTCATGAGTAACAGCCCATGTCTATGTCATCCTTTCTCTTTGATTTTCTTGGGTGTGATTTACCTGTTCTCAGGCTAACATATGCACATGCATCCCTGTCTCCAAATCAAGGGCTGTGTAAGGATGGATAAGTAAAATGCACCTTTATCATCTCTATCCTGTATCTAAGACTATTCTTAAGAAATAACCCCTTTTACCTATTTGTCTTTGTCTTCCAGACTGTCAGCTATTTAAATAATATGCTCAAATGCTATTTTTTTCTGTCAAACCACATCATTTGACTCACCTTTATGGAAGGTAAAGAATTTGTCTTTTCTGTTTCTTTCCATATGTAGAAGAGGAAAACTACTAATAACCAATATCTTATAATAAAAGTAGGATGAAATAGTGTTAATGAACTCATAAAGAAATATATTTAAACGTGTGTTTCTAAACTTGAACCTCTCAAAACGGAATTAAATTCCAGATTCAAAGGGCTCTCTTCCCACATACCATTGTGCTCATCACCCACCCCATAATGCTTCACTGTTAGCCCATATCACCAATGTGTGGCAACTTTTCAGTTATAGAATCTGTTAAAAGTAAATCGTTATTATTTTTTCTCAGCACTTCTGATTTCCTGTTCTACTTTATAATAACTGTTTTTTAGGACTGTGGCCTAGTGTCTGTCTTAAGTGCTTTTACTTTTTTTTCACACTTCTGTGTTAGTTATAAGGTGTCTTGGTTTCTGTGCATTCCTCCTTTCTTAGGTTATATTTTACTGTGCTACAGGGTATCCTTAATTTCTAAAGAACAGATGCAAGGGAAGTAAACTGTCTTAGTCCTTACTATCTAAAAATGTTTTAATTTCCTCTCATAAGGGATTGTTAATTTAGCCAGACATCGAATTGGGGTTGCAATCATTTTGCTCCAGAACTTTTGTAGCTCCTGCAGAAATGTCTTTCGTCATCCATCTGTCCTGGAGAAATGGTGATGACAGTCTGATTTTCATGGGTATCCTGCATTAGTTTGGTGAGTGAGTGCCTTCATTTTGTTTTTCAAGAGCACCAAGTTTGCTCTTTCCATTGAAGCTCCGTTTGTATTGTTAACTATGGAATTTGTTTTTTATTAGTTCTTTGACTATTGCCATACTACATTGTTTTTCCCTTTTTCTGGAACTCAATCATTCATTGAAACTTCAATATTGATGTTCCTGCTCTCCATGTCTTCTAACTTTTTTCTTTTATTTTCCTTTCATAAAAAAGAAAGTTTTTGTTTTATGGTTCAGCATGTTTCTTACATTTTATCTTTCAAGCTCTCTATTAATCCTTTTGAATTTAGAAAGTATGTTTTATATTCCAAAGAGTTTTCTTATTTTGTATCTGCTTTCTTATATAACAGTGTGTACTTATTTTATAGCTGTGGTACATTCTGAAACCTCTCTAAATAGATTAATTAGGTTTCTTCACAGTTCTCATTAATTCTCTAATAATGGCAGCTTCATCTTCAATGGTCCTTCTATTTTGTGCCATTGTTTACCCTCAACTATCTCAGGATCCCTAGGCATATATTCCTATTATATAGACATCTGACAGCCTTTCCCAGGTGTAGGGTGAGGGAGGATGCTGACTGAAGGTTCTGAGTATGTTGGATGGGCTTTTAATGCTGTAGGGTCTCTGGACATAGAGAAGCTCACTGTCCTTGCCCCATTTCCACCACCTTCCCAGTGGAAAAATACAGGAGAAGAGCTCTGTTTGGAGTGGTTACCAACCCCACCCAGCCTTCTTCTTATTCCAGAGACACTGCTCAATTTCTTTACAGAAGTTTCTCAGTTTTTCTTTAGGTTACAAGCTATTACCAAGTTGCCAATCTTGCTTCACTCAAAAGAGTGGGGGGCCATTTGACACCATTTCTTTTTCTAGTGTGAAATACACGCACTCAACTTCACATTCTCATTTTTGTATTACTTTTCATTCCCCTCTCTCTAAATATTCCACTTTCAAGTTTGGAATCCTTCTGGGACTCCATCAGTCCTTTTGTCACCATTTATTAATTCATCTATGCATTTATAAGAATCTCTGGTCCATTTTTATCCCACTGTGAGAAAGTTTTCTGAATGTATTGCTATTTTTCTTTCTTTATTCTCATTTAAATATGATGTGGGGTATAAGATCTAAGTTTATATGAACAGTCCCTATTAAACTAAAGGGCTTATTTTTTAATCCTCAGTAACAGATTAATAATATTTGCACAATAAATATTCCAACTGAACACACAGAAAAATTACATTATAGATTCATCTTGCTTTTCTATTGATCAGTTATGACTATGAATGGTGGTTGGTGTATCAAAATATGCTGTATTATGCCTCAAAGTTTCAAAAAATTAACATTTTTAAGTAAGTTTACATCCTTCATATGTACTTTCAGATAGGGATAATTAGGGGTATATGACTCTGTGTGTGTGTGTGTGTGTGTGTGTGTGTGTTTCAGAGGATGCTAGTTGCCCTGGAATATTGTTTCTCTATCCTTATTTTGTGGAACCATAGCTTTTCAATGAGTACATTGATCTCCAGATAAAAGCCTACATTTCCCAGCCCCCTTGCATCTAAGTAACTTAATTTTGGCTGGCAAGATATGAGCAAAAACTATAGTTCTTCTGAAATATCTCCTTAGAAGGGAGTAGGTGGGCCTTCCTCAACCTGTTCCATTGTTCTCCTTGAAATGCTTGTGTGAAGGCTGGAGCTCCAGCTGTGAACTTGGACATGAAAATGTAGGCCACACCTAGGGACAGCAGAGCAGAAAGTTAAATAACCTGGGCCTCTGGCATCTTCAAGGCACTGCCTTACTTACTAGACTACTTCCATTATCTATATTATATACTCTATCAGATACACCAAGAACAAGGAGAAAAAATAAGCATTAGATAACACAAATATATCTTCATGGTGTTTGGGATGTTGTGTTGTGGAATTATCTCAGCAGCTGATGAGCCAGGTCTCTACGGAACATTAATATTGCTAAGGAAATAATGGTTGCTATAGAAATCCACAGGCAGTTTTGGGAACCTAAGGCAATTCTAGTCTTCCCTTGGGGAGCAAACATGTAACATCCACCACCTGAGCAGCTCTGCCATACTGGTCCGTGGGCCTTCTCAAGGTCAAGAGAAACCTAAGACCATCCTGTTTTTTAAAGTTCTTATAGACTTTTTAAAGATAAATAAATGCCAAAGCAGAGTTCACCAAATTGTGGAATAACTTAAATGTTTTCACTTATTAAATTGCTTTCTAATACAAAATACAATTCAGTATAATTCCACCATTCACAAAATAAGTATAGGAATTATTCATACATATTAATTCCTATGCAATATGTGCAAATAATGTGATCTAGAAGAGAACACAAAGTCCTATGCTTTTTGCTGATGGGACTGAGGGGCACGTGACAGGGAACCCCCAGGGCTCTCAGGGCTAAGAGGAGGCCAGACTGCCCCCTGAGCAAGCTTTGAGCAGTAGGGATGACCTTCCCGATAACTGTGCTCAGTGTACTTGCCACATGTGGCCACTCCTGAAGCTTGGACTGAGCAACTCAGGCCACAGCTTCCAAAATGAGATTTCCAGGACCTGCTACTTAACTATAATCCTGTTAATAGATCAGTAGCACAGGTAGATGAATCTATGGAAATGGAGTTAGGAATATGAGACCAGGGAAATTGTCCTCATGCTGACATAGCCACACTGGTGGCTTCACTACATTTCGCTTCATCTCTTCCAGGAGGAGCTCTCTGGATCTGCCAGTTGCTGTCCTGTATTTTTGTGTCTCTGTTGGACAAAGCTCCTGGGTCAGCCATTTGGGTTCAGCCCCTCAGCATGGTCTGATGGTCATGGCAAGGGAATACATTCACCTATCTTTCTCTTGGTAGAAATTCCTAAAGCTTCCATTCATTTCTCTTCTCAGTTCTTTGCTGATGATGCCACAAATTTAAATTGTGGTTGTTTTATATATCAATATTAAAAATTTTAGTAGAATTCATTAATTTTCTTGTACAGATTTAAGTTGGGTTAAATTCCTCCTTACTTATATATTCCTCTTTGCCTCTCATTAAATTTATAACTGAAATTCTTATCATTGAGAATTGTTACTGAGGGGGGC